CGGGAGAGCAGCCATCGCTCCGGGCTTTACAGCCTGAGCTGATGACACGAAGACATCATCGCCTTGCTCATCCGAGTCGGACAGGAGGAACTCAGAGGTATCCTCTTCGTCCTCCATGTAGTCCAACTCCAGGACATCATCCGCGGGCGAGACCATGGTGAGGTCCAGTTGGGAGCCCCAGCTTGACACAGCGCGGGGTTCCGCTCTCGCGGCTGTTGCCGCCACCGGGTCCCAGCCTGACACGGCGCGGGGCTCCGGTTCAGCGGCTGCCGCTGTTATTGAGCCCCAGCCTGACACAGCGCGGGGCTCAATTTCTGCGGCGGACGCCCCCGTGTCTTGATTGCCGGCCGGCGAATCAGCGGACATGAGGGGGTCCTGTCCCGACAAGCTAGCTTGGCGTGCTAGCCGTCGGCGGAGGCTCTTGATGGTGAAGCGGGCACAATGCCCGCACGAGCCGGGGTGGTCGATAGCCCCCTGGGCGTGTTCCAGCCCGAGGCAGGACGAGCAGACCTGGTGTGAGTCTGTGCCTGATATCTTCAACCCGCAGCCGCAGAGCCGAGCCTCCGAGTCCCTGACTCCTCTGGTGTGAGGGAGAGAAGCGTCATCTTGTTCGCCGTGGTGACGGCGTGGAGAGGACCCGCTCGTAAAAGGTACATTTTTTTTTTACAACATGTCGTTAATCCCGAGAAAAAGCGAGGGTGTAGATTTTTATTCTCAAAGAATATTAACTGGTGTGTTAATACCTTTTTATCTTCTTCTCCTCTGGTGTGAGAGAGAAAAAAGAAAAAAACGTCCTCGCTACCGTGGTGTCGGTAGTGAGGGAAGGCAAGCTAGTAACAGGTGTGTTACTAGTTTGAAAAATCAAAACCTTACCTTTATTTCCGAAGAAAGAAACGGCGAGGTAGATTAACAGTCTTCTTGCGAAGCAGAAAAGTAGCCGGCGCGCACCGTCGACCGAAAGTTAGCCTTGGGTTCAGTCTGTGGACTGTTAAGCTAGCCCGGCTACCGATCTATCGAGATGTGCTCTGAAGCGAGAAGAGGTGTTTGAATGACGCTGCGACGTGGCGCAAAGCTTCTTATAGGTTGGGTGGATTCCCTGACGCTGACGTTAAGATCACCAGCCAATCAGGATTGGCGTAATGAGATTGATGCTTCTGTTTGCTCCGCGATGAGGCGCATCCCATAGTGAGTCATCGAACGGAGTGTTATGAATGAGAACAGTAACGCTCACTAATCTTATCATCCTGCACTTGGTTTTTCCCTTTTTTATGGGACTCAGTGATGCAGTGCTGTCCTTTTATTAGTCATATGTCCCGATGCCAGCTTCTATGCCTCCCTTCTCCTCTTTCTTCTTTCCCTAATCTCCCCTCAATTATCTTTCTCTCACTCACCCTCTCTCTCTTTCTCTCCCTTTCTCTCTCTTTCTCCTCTCTCACGTTTTTGTTCCTCTGTCATCCCCCAAGGTGACTTTCCTTCCTTCCCAGACACTGCAGCTGTTCCTCGCTTTGTTCTGGAAGACCTGAGTGTGGATAAGATATGAGAGAGATGCCGACCGACGGAATAAAGAGAAGGAGAACCATGGGAGGAAATGAAAGAATAAAAGAGGAGGGGACTTGTGAGATTATAAAGTAGAATGGAGAAATCCATGATGTTGATTCGCTGCATTAAGCAATGAGGCAACAAACACAGAGACACAGGCCACATAAGTACACAGATTTGTTCTGGTTTTATAAAATACAAAATGTCAAAATCTTGACTGATAGAGCTGCCTCAACAGATGCTTACCTGACTAACAAGTTTTACCTTCATTAGCACTGGTGATTAGCACAGTTGAAACGTCCCAGCGAGGGTTCGCTATACAGTCAACAATAAATAAGGATCTGGGACGGAGCTTCTCAAGTCAGGGATCAGAGAGACTGGAATTGCAAACACCAGATGAATGATAGGAAAAATGAGTGACAGGTATGGACAATACGGCCCAGAGGAAAAGAGATGGAGGAGTTCCTTACACTGAGCATGAAGAAAATAACCAGTTTCTTGTTAGGACTGTAGAAATACAGCTGCAGCTACGAGCCTGTGACAAAACGTTCTACCTAAAAGATCTCTTACTCAAAATTGAAGCCAATTGTACAATGGCACTTGATTGTTCTTTACTTGTGGTGGTAGAATCGCCCCAAAAATACATTTAAACAAATACTTCTCTCTCCAGAAATCATGACCCAGTTACTCAAGATATTCCACAGACCAAGGAGCTCTGGGAGCTGCTTTCTTTCTATCACTGCACAGAAGGGAGCATGCATCTACTTCTAAACGAGTTGCTCACCTGAGCTGACCTAGCCTAACCATCACTACAGCTCAGCCGAGGAGAACGGCATTAATATTTACATCTGGGGCTGTCACTAGACTCTCACCCAGGACACCCTTCCTTCTGCTCAGGGACACTTTGGAAAATGAAATATTTCCTACATGAAACTGCTCTCAGCAAGGTCTGTGGATTATTTTGACCTAGAGTAACATGGTTTCCATTATATTAAAGAGAAGGCAGACATCCCCACTGCTAATATCTCTAACACCTTGCAATTCACACCATATAAATCTAGATTGGTATACAGCACTGAAGGTAGGAGGAAAACTATGTATTTATTGACATCAATATATACAAAAGGGGATTTTTTTTGTTTTCTTATTTATTATGACTGTAATTATAACATGTTTGGAAGTGTTCATTGAATTATTTGTTTTCATTATTCATAATAACACGTCTTCTTTTGTAATACTTTAGTTATTTTTCACCTTTATTCTGTGTCTTTAAGCTCAGAGAAAGAAGAAAAAAGACAGCTATTTACACGTTTTTTCTTTCTTTCCAGAATTTTAGCAGATAAAATGCACATATGTCAAGAAAATAAATGTTCGTCTATCAGTGTTTGAAAATAAACAACTACCAATACATGGAAGATAAAACACGTATGAACTGAGACGGAGATGGATACATTCTTAGAGAGATTATCTTTTAATACAGATTGTGTTCTGTTCTATACAATAACACATAATATAAATCTTATACAATACTAATATTTCTTTATACACATGGTCATAAATGTACAGTACAGTGTACACACATATAGTATTAACACAAATACAATTACATGTATCTTCTCTTTACAGTTGCTTTCCAACTCACTCAGAGTTTATCACAATGGCTGATTTTCTGTCCGGCAGATGATTGTGACCAAATGAAAAACTATTTTCTTTGACTAAAACCCAAAACAGACACTTCAATATTTACATCCCTGAAAAATGTACATGAATACACAATAATTATTGTCTTCCGTCTGGCTCACAAATTGTGTAAAAGAGGTGAGGATGAAGGAGATAGCCCAAATCCCAAAGACGCTCTCCAAGAGCCAATAAAAGTTGAAAGTGTACTCTATCTACTAACTTACATACATCTTTACACTCTGTAACACCCTTTATACAACAGCTGATAGAGGGCGGGTTTCTTATTTTATGTCCAGCCCGTTGGAAAATGAGACATGAAACCCTGAGGAGAAAGAGAGACACGGATATCATGTAAAATGTCCAGGACTCAGTCAAGAGAGGATTTTCTGCCTCTGCAGTCGTTCAAAGTGTTGTTCAAAAAGCAGTGAGTCCAGAGAAACAAACAGCTAACACGAGGAGATGTCCCATGTCGGAAGTGTTTTGGCCCCATAATGGGATTTCTCTTGTAAAAGATGCTAATTTACCTGCAGTGACTACAATTGACAGTTTAAATTAAGTTTTCAGAAAAATGTGGCCCTTTGATTTTTACTTCAAAGCTGAACTGATAACATTTGATTAAGATTAGAGTTGCCTCTGTAGTTGCAATTGCTCAAAGTGTTCTTGTTTTATATCACAAAGATAAAGTCCCCTTTCTTCTCTCTTTCCCCAGTAATCTAAACCTTAAGTAGAAAACCAACAGTTCAGTGTTCATATTCTCTTTGTTAACACCCTAGGGGTCATTGCTTTTATTAATTATTGCACAGATATACAAACACACGCTCATTTATTCCTTATACATCACACACGCAAACACTCATGCATACATGCAGGCAAAATCACACATCCTCACTTTCACCAATCATGACTGTTGCTCCTAAAGTTTATTTCATACAAAATAATAAAGTCATGCCTTTTTAGCTTTAAACGGCACACATTTTTTGAGACATTGTGGTTACTGGAAACAAAATTAGATTTTTTTTTGCGGTTTCCTGGTAGTTATATATGAGCTTGTAAACTTTGAATCTGAATGCTTGTATTTACCTGCAATTAATTTGCTATACCATATACAGTATGTGCAAACAGTTTCAATCCAATTCATGTTTGTAAACATACAAAAGACATTCAGCACCACAATAATATATTAATAACTCAATTAAGGCATGAACAAATGAGGGAAAGAAAGAGAAATATAGACTCCCATTAATATTTATCTCACTGAGAGTATCTGTGCAGGTAGATATTGGTGTGCTTTCACAGATTATGACTGAATATAGATCAGTGTGCAGTGTAAGTGTGAGTATGTGTGAATACCTGTTACTATGTGCATATTTACATGCACATGCATGTTGAAATTGCTCGCCAAAACAGTAATGTATGCATTTGCTGTAGTCTAAACCTTATCCTACGAGTAGCGTGCTCACTAGTTTTACTGGCCGGGACTACGAAGTTGTCAAAATGCTTGACCAGTGTAGTCATGGAGACACATGGGCCTTGTTGTCAGTCAGAAAGTGGACTAATGAGGGCCTCTATAAGTAGAGCAGAAAGCAGGCTCTAATAAGAGCATGGGGCTCACCTGTCTCCACATTTACATGGAGCCAGTGGTCATGGGATTTGTCCTGACCTTTGTAAACTAACTGGAATTTCTCATGAATATACACACAAACCATCCCTAGCAAATTGGACACACACACACACACACACACACACACACACACACACACACACACACACACACACACACACACACACACACACACACACACACACACACACACACACACACTTATTCCCTCACTGCCTCTGTGAGGCAGCGATCAGTGCATTCACTGGCCTCCCCTCGTGGCTTGCGATTCTTCCTCTGGCCTCCACCTTCCACCCAGGAATTGTGAATAACTGTCCCCCCGCTGGGAGCCGGGTCCACCTGCAGAAGGGAAACTACCTTTTTCTTCACACGGGTTTTTAGGGCCTTGCGCAGCTTTTGCCTGGTGAAAGCGTAGAGCAGAGGATGAAAAATAGTGGTTCCATAAGCCATCGCCAAGAAGCAGAGGCGCAGCCGCACCAGGCTGTCGCTGGGCCCCATGCACAGGATCAGGATGTTGACTGCGGACAGAGGGGCCCAGCAGCCCATGAAGCTGGATATGATGAGTAGGGACATTTTAAGGACGCGACGTTGGCGTTCTCGACGGTCCCTGTGTCTACGCACTGCCCGCCTCAAGGCGATAATGGCAGAAACCGAGGCCTGTACACCCATGGTGGAGGCAGGCAGTGGTGAGTTGGCATGGGGCTGGGATGAGGCTGAAGCTGGAGGTGGAGAAGCAAGACTGGCCGGTGTAGTGGCGATGGGGGTGGTGGCAGCAGTACTGACAGTAGTGACTGTTGCTCCACTGTCAGAAATCCCCTGGGGCATGGAGGGGAGTGGCGGGGGCGATGTTGGTGTAGGAGTGTTTGGATTGGTTTGGTTCTTGTTCTGGTTGGAGGACACTACCTCGGTTGGCAGACTCAGGTCCTTCTTTCTACGCCTTCTGCAGCGTATTCTGCAGGTGGAGTCTTTTGCCCGCTTACCCCTCATCATATGGGAGCCTATGCGAATGTTGAGGGCCTGCAGGATCCTTGAGTAGGTAAATAACATGACAGCCACGGCGATGAAGAAGCATGGCACTTGGAGTAACAAGTGGTAATACATAGCCAGTCCTGTATAATACCCCTGCCCTCCTACACACAGCAATGTCCTATTCTGCCATTCTGGAGTCAGGTGGTGTGAAGGGGAAGAAGGACGCGTTGATGGAAAAGAGGAAGGAGATATGGAGGAAGGTGAGATGGAAGAAGGAGAGATGGAGGAAGGAGAGATTGAGGAAAACATGTTGGTCAATCTAGTGGTGAACTCAGAGACATTGTTCTGCCCTTTTGGCTCCTCATCCTCACTGTCCTCACCCAACGAAGAGAAGAAATTCCCCTCAAGGAAGGGCAGGAAGAAGACAGCAAGGGAAACGGCCCATACTGCTGCCAGGANTGTGTGTGTGTGTGTGTGTGGGTGTGTGGGGGGGGAGTTGCTGTGGGTGGGGAGGGGGCTGAGGATTGAAGAGTGGAAAGAAAGAAGTAAAAGGGAAAAACGAGGAGCTGGGGAGGGATTAAATGCTGACATTCTGCAGTTCTCATCGCCCAAAAATACACAACCATCTCTCTTTCTCTCTCCCTCAGTCTCCCTCCCTCTCTCCCCCTCTCTCTCCCCCCCTCTCTGGTTTGGCAGTATGCTCTGGCAGTTTTGGGGTAGAGAGGATTTGCCTGTAAGTCACTCAGCTTTTATGTAATAGTCGTTTGCAGCGTTCCAGGGAAGCTTCTGTGGAGATGCGACTGAATCGAGGAGTGAGCTCGGCTGACTGCAGCTGCCGGGGCTCGTTACAGGAGGAAGGTCCCAGAGAGGAGGAGATATGGAGGAAGGTGAGATGGAAGAAGGAGAGATGGAGGAAGGAGAGATTGAGGAAAACATGTTGGTCAATCTAGTGGTGAACTCAGAGACATTGTTCTGCCCTTTTGGCTCCTCATCCTCACTGTCCTCACCCAACGAAGAGAAGAAATTCCCCTCAAGGAAGGGCAGGAAGAAGACAGCAAGGGAAACGGCCCATACTGCTGCCAGGAGCAGAGCTGCACGCCTTGGGGTCAGCAGGCGACTGGCTGGACGCACTGAGATGTCGTATCGGTCCAAACTGATCACCAGCACATTGACTGCTGTGGCCACACTGGTGAACGTGACACAGGCTTCGTGAAAGCAGCACAGCGTGGCCAGGCTGCCGACTCCACTTTCATTGGCTGGTAGCAGGATCACAGCCACAGTCAGTGGCAGACACAACAGACATACCAGTATGTCCAGAACGTGGAGGTTGACTGTGACAAGGTTGCTGACTGAATCCACCAGGTTGGACTGAGCACAGTAGAGCACAAGTACCGTCAGGTTGCTGCTGAAGCCCAACACCAGCTCCAGCAGCAGCACAGTGGTCAAAGACACCTGGAAGCCCAGGGGGTAGGGTGTGCTCCAGCCCTCCTCCACCCCCACCTCACCCCCTCCATCCAGCGGGCCTACCCCCTGACCATCGCTGGTCTCCAGGAGGTCACGATAGCCTTCGGTCTCCATTGACGCCACAGCACTCCCTCAAGCATAGCAACACCGGCCCCCACACCAGACCATGCTCGTCTTTCCTTTTCTTCTGGCTCAAACGAGACAGTGATGAGGATGATGGCCAGATCTGTGGTTGATTCTGTGAAAAAAAAACGAGGAGTAGAAAGTCAGAGAGAGGACAGAGAAATATCAAGCAGTTATTAGACAGCTTGTCTCATATTTACTCAAAAATCACACTGTACAGCAAGTAAAAGTCAAACTTGTGATATTTCACAAGTGGAGAGAAGCTATGAGTTGACACAACGTGGTGAAAGTGATCTTGGCATGCGATTAGAGTCGTGGGGTTCAAGCTGCTGCTGATGACCCGCCATGTCTCACTGGGCTCAGGCAGTTAGACGACAACAACATGCTTTGCATAGACAATGCTAACAGTTCAGACAAGAACTGGAGCACAAAGTCTCTTGGGGGACATTTGCAAGTATGAGTGCATTAGGCAGGGACTCACCATTTGGCCTGAACTAGCTACACATTTTAACAAACCAACAGGGATTTAGTTCCTGCCAGTGCTTACATTTCATATACTGTGCTGTGCTAAATACTCTGAAAGAAAAATTAAACTATGCTTCTCATGAGAAGGAGTGGGTGGATGTTTGACTCATTATTATGCAACATAGATTATATGGGTCAGAATAAAGCATGCATAATAAGGCATGTGGAAACATATAGAAACCAACTACACTGGTACCGCTAAGATGGCAGTTACACACTACACGTTGTCTATAGTAGTAAGATACCCGTACCTGATCCTTTATCAACAAAGTACCTTGTGAAGACGATGAATGCCTGTCCTAATTCAATAAATGCAATTTTTTCTCCCACAATCAGGATAAAACGGTCAGCGTCTATCTCAAAGAGGAGAGGTGGCAGGGACAATTGTGGGCCGGTAGAGAGGCCGTGCAGTGCATGTCAACATTGCAGGACCCCAACTGAGGGTGGCAGCAGTTAATAGTTCTCACAGGGAGATGTAATGAAGACGAATGGATCAATGATGCACAGACAGTGGCACATAAACAATGCTATCAGAGAAAGACCGGCTCCCCTGGCATTCTCTCTCCACACCCCCTCTGTCTCATCTGCTCTCATACATCACTCACATCTCTTCCTACTCTGTTCCCTTTCCAGTTTATTGGCTGACACAGACTACTTTGCATGTAGAGCATGTTATTCAGGGTTCACTGGATGCTCTTTTCAGAAGGAATCATGAAGCATTGGTTGGTGGGATATGAGACTTTTTCTTTATAGATAGAGAAACATTTTTTTTCATCTCTGCAACAAAAGCTACAGGTGTATCCTTACAGGCAGCGTTGACCTCGGCCTTTCCTGTCAACCTTATCTCTCCCACAGCTTGTTCTCACCCTCTCATTTGCCCTTTTCACTTTGTTTTATTTCACAGTTTCCCCCCCCATTTGTCATGTGGAAAGGACCTGCAGGCAGAACAGGACCCAGCGTGAAACAGTGGTCTATCTTAATTCACTAATGGGTTCCATGGGGTTTGTGGTATTGCTGGAACATTGATTTAAAGCATCATCGATCTGCCAATTTAACAAGCCTGAGGCAAGGCTGCACCAAAACAGACTCTCTATCTCCTCAACTCAAGGGTAGGCTACCTGTGGTCTTATTTTAAGTTATGCATACATTTATTGAGAGCAAATTAGTTTGTCGTAGTTGTTGTAATCAATTTACACAGGCCACAGTATCATGGCCTACAGGACTTAAATAAACAAATATAGTATGTTTAAATGTTACTCCAGTATTTGTAGTATTAAGTATTCAAAAAAACATGCAAAAAAGTGTTTAACCAACAATGAGAATTGGGCTTATACAAAGAAATGGTATTGGGAGTTAAAACATATCTAAATCCACCCTGTGTTCCGAGATAAAGACTCGTAAAAGAATATCCAATTGTGTTTACAGTCTTTGTGCAAAATGGTGGACATGAAGGTACCACAGAGAATCAAGGACCAAACATGCAGACACACTATGTTTGAGAGTCAACCACTTACAGCAAACACACATGTCAATACTGTATTGACAAAGCAATGTGTTTCATCCAATGTGAGTGTGTTTGTGGCATGTGTGTGAAGCACTTCAGTATATTAATGTCAGGAGAAGAAGCTAATTGTGCTCACACATAAGTACAATACAATAAACATTCTAAAACCTTCAGTGATATACAACAAAAATCTACTCTGATCTTATTTTTGAAATGATGTGAAAGCAAGACAGGGGCTCTTTTCTGACAAAATGAAATGGTATTCTGCAGTCACTGATTTTAATCAGTCACATACAAACATCAGGTAATCATGCGCTTCTTTTAACCGTTCTGCACTTAATTACAAGGGATGATTGTGTACTGGTGAAGAGAGCTGAATCGCTTTCAACAAGAGTCATTTATGTTACTCTGGCTAAGAGAAACAATGAGCCCAAATCAGTCCTGTGATAATAGATACTCAGTACTGTTTGATAAACTGGAGAAACAAAGGGCCACAAACAAAACAATAGAAAAAATAAGTCTGAGTTAGCATGTAGTTTCAGGGCAAAACAAAATGTCATAAGCCCTTAGAATGAACAGCTGTGACTCCAACCTGCGGGCAGGAACAGGCACAATATTCTAGTATTAACAAGGAGAGAGAGAAGAAGACAACTCAAATGTGAAGAAAGGGTGGTGAACTTTGGGGTGTTTTTCTAATGAGCACAATCAGTGTTGATGTCTTTCAGGGAAAATTGTAAATACTTGATGGGTTCATCTAAGGCTGCAGATTGGTTGTTCACATTTGTTGGTCTTGAGAACTCATTGCAGTATATTCCCTGTTTGTCAACTCTACTTATACAGGAAATCTCATTGTTACGTGGGTCTAGTTTTGGAGAGAGACCATAAGGGAATTTTAGTGATTGCATGCTTGTTTTAACCTGTTGAATGAATTGTGCCAACAGAAAGCAGCTTGAAACAAGTGAAACTTCCACCCCATGACTCAAGCGTGTGATTGACAAGTCAGACAGAAGGGAAGAGGCAGAGCTAGCTTAGGGTATGTACTACGTATGTACTACAAAACATGTTATATATGACCCAAACAAATATGCATTCAAATCCAAATAGTCTTAAGTTGTCTGACATCTTTGCAAACATCAAGACAAACAGATGTGAAGCTTCATTTTTTGAAAGCCTAAGCTCTGTTGAGTTCTGTGAGTGATTGTCATAGAGGCTGGCATCAATTCAGTCAGAGAGTCTTAAATTGGTTCGGTTAAACCCACACGCCCTCTCCACAGTCATCAATCAAAAGCATAATTTGCAATCATGTATTGAAAGCTAAATATTGTGTCGGATTTGTTCAGTTTGAAAACTAAAAAGAAACTGACATCTACAGATCTGACTTCATCAAATCTGGTATCTCAATCACTGTGCTTTCTCCAAAAACCACAACAAATAACTGGCCGTTTCCAAGTCTGCACTACTTCCTGCAGCCTGCTCTCTGAGTTATTATAGGTGTTGCCAGGTAGCAGTTGACAGGTTGTCATGCCTCTGTTCACAATTTCAGAGGGTAAGTGCTCAGGATCCAGAAGTTTAGTCTCTCTCTTTTCTATTTTTTTTTTGCTTAATTAATTTTGCAAACGCTCTAAGCTATCCCTCTTTTTAGCTTTTTCTCCTGACATCACATGTTTTGCCAGAGGCTCAATGACTTCTACCCAAATCAAAGACAAACCAGACAGTGTCTAAAACAATAAAGTGTAAGGCATTTTATTAACTTTGCATAATTGTAGGGTATGTATTGGTGAAACAACCAAACACACAACATTACTACATTCAGACAATATGTCACAGGAATAGGATGGACGCAGTCCAGCATTGTGTATTTTAGAGTCCAGGAGCAGAGCTGAAATACAGTTGATATGCCCTGGACTCCCAAGATAACTGCAGCAAAATACTGCAACAGTTAAATCAAAAGGGCAAATCAACATGCTGTAGTGCTGCAGCAGCTCGCTGGAAGCCAAGATGAATTCAAGCCACCATTCTTTTTCCCTTGTTAAATCAGGCACTGTGTTTCTCTAAATTAGTATACTATTATATGTATAATGGCTCTCATTTTCATTCAAAGAAGCTCTTTTGTAGATTGTTTTTGAATACACCTGCTTTCCAGAGCCAGAGAATGTTCCCCACAAAATGGCAATCACAAACAGCATGGACTTGTAAATACACATGTCACTTATATGATCCTATGCCAATTGGTAGAGGCACACTTCACCTATTTCACACAAGATTAACCTCAAATGACAAATGTACTTCCAGGCCAATGCATCCATCTGATAAACAACACACACACAAAACACACACAGGGATTTCTGAAATGTGTCAGAAAACGTTGAATAAATCTGTCCTTTTGTGTCATACTGTCCATTGTGCTACTGCATGCCAAGGTATCAGCCAGCTCCTTAAAAGTGCTGATTCAGCACGAGCCCTAAGGACACGCTCCTATTTTCACCTCAGTCCTCTGCAATCTGCATGTGGAACTTCAGTATGCTAACATTATGCTAAGTTTGCCTATATGTCTCTCCACATTAGACAATCTCTTCCTATTATAAATCATCATCATGTTGTGATTATTATGATGTGACCCCCTTTAGTATTGCTGTAAGTTAGACAAAAAGTGTAATAGCTTGAAAAGGAAGCATGAGCACTTAAGAATGACATAAAGCGGATCAGACCTTGATAAGTTGAGGTCTCAGCTATCTTATGTTATCAGAAAAGTCTGTTTAATAGAGCACAATGGATTGTTCTAAGTAAGTCTAGTCTCTCTCTTTTTTTGCTGGACTTCTTATTTGTAATCATTATATCTGCTACTGTGGTTTATATTCAGCAGTTGGAAAAGATCCATCTCTTCCATGAGGCTCTGAGCTAGCTTCCACCTCAGGGATTGGGTTCGTCAGTGTTGTTTACATGAGCACAACAATAACCAAAGTAGAAGTGTCTTTTTTTCTTTTTTCATGATATTGGAAAAATAAACTGCTCTGGTAGTAAGCAGTGCCTGGTTGTTCAGATAACAAGAAACTATGTTTACAAGAGGGCATCATTGTATTGAACTA